CAGTATTATGGCATCTCACAGCATTTACTAGAAACAATGTGATCCCACAGCCCAAATCAAGAACCACATAACTGGGAGTTACAAACTTGATATTACAACTATGTTATAACACACTGCATAGCAAGGAAATGATCATGACATATCAATGTGGAAGAGCTATGACAAAGGGAGTGAACATTTTGTGGAAGATCTTCCCCATTTTAAACTAATTTTCACAAAATTTAATGAAATTGCTCCTTCCACAATTAATAGAAAACACTATTGGTATTAGGATTTTTCCAATCCCTGATGATAGTCTCAGTTCCTTACATACTACTGCAAATTAACCAAGGCCAACTAACATTCAGAAATCAGATTCAGGAGCCACTCCCTTTTCCAAGTATCTGTAAAGACCAAATACCATAGTAATTTGTTCCCCTTGTTACAGCTAATAGCATCTCTTATGGTGTAAAAGATGCAAATTCTTTCTGTGTGAATGATCGAGCAGGAGTAATAGCAGCACCTAACAAGATTGCCCAACACTTTCCATTGTAAGACCCAACTTTCAATTGCTTATATAGCCAAGCTAACTATTTTGGCTGAAGTTTTCCATGCTCATGCTCTCCCTCATGCCAATTTTGGAAAATGTCAATGAAAACCTTTCTGCCATTTCCAAGAATGACTCCAGGCAAATATTCCTTGTTTTGCTTGTGTGTGCTGGATCTAACATTTCCAAACTTTGCTTATAAGCCACATGAGCATCTATGTGATGCCACACAATGGAAATTCTGGTGATTCAGATTGCAACTTTAATCATACTTTTTTAACAGTTTTTTGGTGCAACTCCCTAGGTTTTTAAAATGGCAAAGTCACACATTCAGAAGTTAGTAAATGCCAGGATTGAGGTTGCCTGAAAAACCTTAATTTGGTCCCCTACTGTGTAGCCATTATGAGATGGTCTTTAATTACTTGATCAGCCTATTTTTTCCCAACAGGAGCCCATTCTCATTCAGTGTCCAGGATGGACACTACTCAGTTAATGAGCTGCTATCTCAACATTATGTTTTCTCCTGGTTGTTCAGTGTGTGGCCTCAGGCCTTATTTACTGCACATTATTCAAACCCTGCTATGAAGACAGAATTAGCAGTTTCCTAATGGGTTGTTCTGTGGCGCACATCACAATAAGTGCAGAGTATTTCACAAACATTAACCAATTCATGTTCACAACACATTTGTGAAGTGAAAGGTTGGTATGGTCCCCATTTTACAGGTGGCAGAGGCACAAGAAGATTCAGGTAAGAGATTTCCACTAAGTTTGACTCCTGTTGTTTCTCTTGCAGCTATGGGTGCCACTCAATACTTCTGCAAATCAGACATCAGGGTCTCATCTCAGATACCTAGAAGGTCAGTGGCCACCTGTAAGGTCTGCTTTAAGCAGCTTGACCAGCACTGCACAGGAGCTTTGTGGTGGAGGCAGCAGTGATGGACAGCTGTCTTAACCTTGAACCTGTCCTTTGACTTTTAATAATCCTATGTTGCATTTATTACACACCTTCCAGCATCTGCAACAAATGAGGTAAGCAGACATGTAATAGGGCAGCTCCATGCTCTGGGCAGTGGCTCTGCACGGGACAGTGCCAGCTGCTGTACTGCTGGCAGATGTGGTGCAGCCATTTCCTAGCAGCAGTGGCTATCCCATCCTCCCTCCATACCAAAAAAGGTACCTGGGGCTACTCCCCCAGTTGCCCCCATTCAGTTCTACTACTACCAGACAGCAGTTCTACTACCAGGTACCAGACAGCAGTCTTCTTAACTATACAGTCCTGATTCATAACAGATTCTGACATACGCACTGAATGAAGTAGGGGGTCTATAAAAAAAAAAATTCTGCGATCATGTAATTAAAGACTGGATCATTGTGTATACACAGAAGGGTACCAAATTAAGGTTTCACAGGGTAAATTGAGTCATCTCAAATTGAGATGGGAATTAGACCTGGACACCTGAAATCCCCCTGGTTTGAGTATTCTTCACATACATTTATTAGGGATGTGCGAAGCAGGCCCTATTCGATTTGTATTCAGCCCGAATCAGGGACAGTGATTCGATTCATCGATTTGGATCACTGTCCCTGAGTCAATGCGGCTAAACCTGAATCTGAAGATTTGATGCTGATTCGGACATAGACACAGCTTTAAATGTTTTTTCTACACACCTCGAGGTACCAGCATGGCTCGTGAATGCTGCAATGATGTGGCTGATGGAGCATCCCATAGGAGCGTGGCGGAGCCCCTTCGTTCTTGGCGGTGAACCTGGAAGTGGACCGGAAGTACTTCTGAGTCCACCAGGGAGCGTGTGGGGGGGCCCCCAGCTTGGTGATCAGCTGTAGGGGGACCCCAGGTGACCCCCAGAAGGCACCAGTCACTGAGCTGGGGAGTGTATGGGGGGCCCCCAGCGTGCTCTCCGGCAGACCCAGAAG